TCATAAGAATAATTAAAAATAAGTTGAAAAGACATATTATTTAAGTAGGGAATATAAATAGATGGAGGTTTTGTTGTAACTTATTAGGTATATTTAGAATAATAAATATGAATGAATTTTTTAATTAATAAACAAATTATTTAATGAAAAGAAATAAAAAAAAGGACGAAAAAAAGAAATTGAAATAGAGGCTATAGAGAGGTGTCACATCAGCTCCTCTATGATCCTCATTTATTTATATATATATATATATATATATGTTTTAAATTTTGTGTCCAAAACAAATTGTATGTAGTATGTGTAGTTTGGTAGAGACTATCCTACCACATATATGGGCCTTAAATAGTGGACTTGGATAGAAATTGAATTGGATCATTGAATAATGAGTAAATGGGCTGTGAAAGTGTAGAAAAACAACGGGAAAATTTTACATGTGACAAATTTATTTGATTAAATAACATTATATGGGTATAGTTTACCTAATTACATTCTATGGGTATATTTAATTATTTTAGGTATTTTTAATTTTGTATATAAGGTTTCTTTTGTTTTTTATTTATACAATTTTATTTTAAAAAGTGATTTGTAACTGAAGCGTTAAATATGCTAACAATAAATATAGATAATGCCATAATTTAAGGTAAACGTCCCTTTTTAAAGGTAAACGTTCAAATTCAAAAAAATAAGAATTATACAGCAATTGAAACAAAATATAAACTTGTTTTTGCTGTTTATGAAACAACAGTTCATCAATTTTTTTTATTTTTTCTTTGTAATCGAATTCAGGTAAGTGTTCATTGGATGAAATTCATGTTTAATATTGCAATAATTATACAATGTTCTATTGGATTTACAAATTTTGATTTATGTGCGTTCGTTATTGTGGTGTCATAATTTATTTTATTTTTTTTGAAAAACTAATTTCAAAATATGATTATTTTAAGCAGAAATTTCGTACTATACGATTATATACTTTTTGTTAATGTAGTATTTTTATATTATAAAGAAGATCAGTGTAAGCGAATACAGGTAATCGTTGGTGATAATTGCATATAGCCATAAAGTAAGTATTTTGCTTTTGATACAATTATATACTTTTTTTTGATGTAGCATTTGTCTATTAAAAAGAATATCACTGTAAAATCAATTCAGTAATTTGATTGTATAATATATACAAAAACAATCAATTTTAAAAGAAGTCATGTACAGATTAATTTTTTGTATATGTCTACAAACTTACCTTTTTTGAATATTAATATATGTACATGAATATAGTAGTTAAACATGATAATATATACAACTGTCTAAATGACTTTGTATATACTCCAATAATATATAAATTTAATATATACTAACTTCAATATTTTGTATATAACTACTAAAATTTACACATTACAATTTTTGTATATGTATATAAACTTAATATATACTAACTTCAATAATTTGTATATAACTAATAAAATATACAAATTATAATCATATATGAAATTTTTTCATCTGTATAACTAAGTCCAATTACTTTTTGTATATATATACGAAAACAAAAATAATAATGAGCCTTTAATATACAATCTGCTACTACCACTATTAATACTTAGTATATTATTCATAACTTAAAGTATGTATAAAGTAATTAAATCTACAGACACATATACAAATATATAACTAAAGCATGTGTGTACTAAACATGCAATACTATATACAATTACGTGAATACAAAATTTACTTAAACAATAATTTTTTGTATATTGACATCTAAGTAACAAAAAAATTGTATCTAAATTTGTGTTTTAAGCCACTACCTCATGATTATGATGTTCTTCAGATCCGTCAACTTCACATGCATTTTCATCTGAATCAATGTTTACTGCTTTCCTCTTTCTTCCTCCTTGTACAATTTTAATGCCTCTAGCTTTAGCATTGTTAATAACTTCTTGAACTGCCGTAGGGTCATATTTTTTCTTTGATCTCAATTCTTCCATTGTTTGTTCATGTTGAACTTGTTTTGATTTTACCATAGACCCTACATCAATCCCAAAATCTTGAGTTAAACCCATTGAAAACGATGGTAAATTGTAAACAAAATTGACATGCAATGGAATACCTCTAGTAATCCTCATAGATGAAGATGGTTCATTCATTCTGTGACTAATTTGAGATCTAATAAGAACAAACAATCGATTATTTCATCAAAAAAAATATGAAAAAACATAAGAAACACAATACATATACAATTGTTGAATAAGAAAAAAAAAAAGGAAAACGACTAAAATTTAGGAGTACCTACGAAAATTGAATTCAACTTCGGGAGGGAGTAATTGAATTTTGGACAATTTGAAATTCAAATCGAATAGAGGTATTAATTGTAGGAGAAAAAGGTGGAATATGAATAGGAGAGATAATATTGTTTTGTGTAAAATTATATACAAAATTAAAAAAAAAGTTTTTATACTATTGGTTATATAATAGGTGGTGAACCTCATTAATTATAGCAAAAAAAAACTATAATTATAGAAAGTAAATAAATTAAACTATACCTCTATTATATAATTACTTAGGAATGTTTGTCATTTCATATAATTTTCCCCAAAAACAAATGGGCCGTTAAAAGGATTCTGCTGCTATTCTGTCCAACCCAAGAGAACATTTCTTCCATTGTTTAGTTATGAAATTTTTTCATAAATAGCTACAGTATAGAGCATAATCATGAAACATTACTTTTAGTTTACCTAATTATAATTTATAGCTATAATTTTTGAGTGGAGAGAAGCAAGCGAAATTGAGAAAGAAGAGAGAGAGTTTTGAAACAGAGAGGACAAATTGTAGATACATGTATCTCAACCTGATACAATCTGTATATTGATACAACATGCATTCGTGCATTTGATTATTGAAAATATTAACTGACCCCCTCATATATTTTGTTTTGGTCATAACGCTATATTTTGGAAAATATCAAGTTCCATTACAATAAAAAAATATATGGATGATTAAGCCGATGCAATAAGCGAGCCATCTTTCTAGCCTTTTTGGGTTGAACTCCAAAGTAATGTTGATATGCTTAGAAGCGTATTAAGGATATCTGTAAGGTGGGTGTACGATAATTAAAAAATGCATCTTAAATATAAATTTGATGACTATTAGATTTTTGATATGAACAATAATTTATTTTAAGAAAAAACTTATAGGTCCAAAACATATTATACTATTATATTTAAATTTCACTATACACATTTAATTTAATTATATAAATATTTTAGAGTGCTAAAACTTTTATGACTTTTCAATGTAACACACTTGAAAATTTTGAAAGATTATAAGGAGAAAAAAAATATTAAAAATTAGTTGAAACGTCAAAAATGTTACCAATAACCACTTAGAGAGGTGTTATGCAAAATTTATATCAGACAAGACAACAATATTTATGTCGAACAAGACAAAAATTCTTTAAATATTTGTGAATTAAGTCACAGATATAAACACTTTAAATTGCCCCATAATTTTTTTAATTAAATGAATAGCAAATCAAAAATTAAAACCATTTCGGAAGAGACAATTATGCAAAAAAAAAAAATGAAAAGGGAGCGATATTTCCATCTTTATGGGTCGCAAGTTCATTGTAATCAAGCAAATACCTTCTAATTTTTTATTTTTATATATATAATTTGATTTTATTAAATTGTTAATTACCTACATAACCAATGGAATATTAAATAACTAGGTTTAACGCCACAATGGTATGGTGTAAAATTAAAATAAGATCAAATTAGGGTTATACTAATTTCGTTTTTTTTGTTTTAAATAAGTGTAATTCTAAAATGATTTATTAAAACTTAACTGTTGCAAGGGGCGGACCCACATGGATTTTATAGGCAAAAAATCAGGATGCAATGTTCAAGGAAGGCCCCGTAATCTCACTCCACCAAGTAAACTCAACAAGAACCATAATAAATGCCCAACATCACATATTATATCATTAAGAGTAAATATCATTGTACTTTCATTACAACAAAAATAATTTTTAGCGGCATTAAATATCGACACTAATAAAAAGTGCTAAAGTTTTTACCGGCATTAGTTAAGTGTCATTAGAACCAATATCGCTAAAGGCTTTAGGGACATATACAAAGAGTGATAATTGCCGCTAAAAATACATAATTAATGACAATTAAGAATTAAATGTCACTAATGGTCATTTTTATTGTAGTGTTTAGCAATAGAGACCAACCAGTTCATAAGTGAAACCAATATCACATAATGTCATTAACATGTAAGATCAATATATGCATATCATTTACATTTATAAACATATACTCATATAAGAACCTCCTTCTAAGACTCCCTTCGAGTCTAACTAGTGTATATAGAGTAAATTTTCTGTATTTCTATAGATACATATATTTTTACCTCCCTCATTAACAAAGAAAAATTGATGGCGCTTTGACAAGTCCCTCTAAAATTAAATTGTATTCACCAATTTAAATCCTAGTAAACGCGCTAAAAGCTTGGTTTTAAACTCAAAAAAAAATTAAAGTTTTTTCTTTCTAAAGACTTATTTATATTTTTATACTTTTATTTTTCAAACCCGTAAATTAAAACCTTGATTCCACTATTTGAGTACATAAATACCAAGGCTGCAATATGCAACTAACTATGCCAAAAAGTCTTCATGAATTTCATTTTGTGAAAACATGTAGTTATACTTTTTTTATGTCATTTTCTCCATAAGACACGGCAAAGAGATTATATTTTCCTGGCCATTGATTGGTGATCTAATTTGCCCTAAAGATTAGTCTATTTGACCAGCGCAAAAGTGATTCATATTTTGCATCCACTCCAAATTTTAGTATCTAGTAAAGTCACATTGCTGATCAAAATATTCTTCCCTTCTACTTGGAAGCTCACCGCCTCACCCTTTCACTTTCAAAATATGTTTGAATTATTAAAAAACTTCACAATTATATATATGTTAGAAATTTTTTTTATTATACTACACAAAAAAGAATTATATTTCCAATATTATATACCTTAAAACAATTCCATTTGCCAATTAAGTTTGTGTGATATATGGAATTCCCCTCACAGTCTCTTACTGTATCAGCTCCATCTGTTATGCGGTTGGATTTGTTGTTTTAGTCTCATCAGACTCAAATTCTGATCTATCAAATGCGGTCATATTTGCAGTCGCATATTGGATGTTTCTCTTTATTTTGATTTCATCAGCATATGCTTTTCTTATCCGTCCATCGTTAGAAAATGGGCCACCTTATATGCAACATGTTCCGTTAGATGTTATGAGGGATGGAATGTCCCAGTCTCTTACGAGGCTGGAACAAGCCTGTCCTCGGGTAATGAATCTCGTGTTTTCTCTGTTCAACAAGATCATCACAATGAATGGTAACTTCAACAGGTTTGATATAGCTGAGTTTACACCTTTGTTTATAATATATTACAAGCATACCTTTACTTGGTGTATGATTATTATATTTTATTGTTTTTAGATCGTCTCTTGGGGTTTTTCTTCTTCGTCCATGTAGGTATATTGTATAGAGTCATGGGTTCAGACCCAGTGAATACTTATTTATGTGTTAAAGAACGATTTAACAGGACTCCTTTCGTGTGGATTTATGGGATTTGGAAAATCATGAAATTTGCACTTGGAATGGTGGGGACTATACTTTTTCAGTACTATTTTAAATTTGCTTCAACTCATCAATTAGTTGTTTTTTTGTGCTTCGCGGTGACTTGGCTTGGGAATCTGGCAATGGTTCAACCTTGGACTGATGTTGGAATATTCAATTTCTTAATTGTCAATGCGTGCTTAGGTGGTGCAGTGAATCTTTTCAGTGTTGATATACGGCGTATTTGCTGCTTGCATCTTTTTATGCTTTTTGCGCGAGAAGTTGGATTCAGTGATCTTCAAATATGACAGAGGTTTTAGAGTCACTAGACATGAGCAAGATCCAGTAATTCCACAGACACTACCGTTGTCTTCCATAGATATCGATGATGTTGTTGTTCCTCTGCTACAGCAGACACTGTGATTGCATTAACATGTACCGTCTTTTACGGCCAATCTTGATCCGTTGCATTCCGACTCAGTCCCCTCAACAAACTTCATCTATAGAATTACATTGAGATTGTTAAAATTTAATGTTTAACGCCTTTTTGAAAAGAGTTTAAAGTAGGTATTTTGCCGTAAATGTCAAATGACTTTTATTTTTAAATTTTCTACTCATTACTTACTTATTATAAGAAATGTCGAGATTAGTTATTTCTCATCTCTCATCCAAACGAATTCTAGATTTGAAATCTGAGTTCAATTTGAACTTGACTTTTCAATTATTAAGTCATATATTAAATTTAGAAAGAAAGTAAATAATGTGTGGAGGAAAACCATCTTGTCCATGTAGAGAGATAGATAGAAAGACATGTGACATATGCGGCTCATTACAAAGGACTTATTAAAGAATGACAAACGAATACCTTTAAGGAACGAAATTGGATCGTGAAGAGTTGTGAAACTCGCGACATCGGATTGGTATTTCATCAACATTATTTATCTAACTTTTTTAGAATAAATCAATATATCAAGCATAGGAAAATCTTAAAATAAAAATGAAACGACTAGACTGAGTAGGCCATACTGATAAACTAATACAAGTTGATATTGAACTCCTTTTAAAACTAGTAGGCTAGCACAACTCTTTGTCAATATCTATTTACGACTGACTCATCCTATTAGAGAAATGTTAAACATTAATTTGCTCTAAATAAAACCTTATAGCTTTAAAAAGGCAAAAACAAAACAATAGTAAGCGTTTTAAAAATAGTTATATCAAATTAATCATCAATTTATGAAACAAAGAGAGAATTAATTATAATTTTCTCATTTTACCTTACAATTAATTCTTTTTGGAAGTATACAATTAAAATTTGTATAGTTCAAAAAAATTTCTTAAGGAGCAAATTAGGAAAAATACACTATTTATTTATGGTTTCTTAAAAGAGATGTGAAGGAGAAAGTAAAAAACAGACGAGATGTTAGAATTTACTTTGGTAAACAGTACAAGCTAGCTGTTCAATAAAGAGAAAACAATAATTAGTATAATTAAAATACGTGTGATAACAAAACCAACAACCGACCTTAGCTCAGTTGGTAGAGCGGAAGACTGTAGTTGGTGAAAAGCCTGACAGATAATCTTTAGGTCGCTGGTTCGAATCCGGCAGGTCGGATTTTTTTATTTTTAAAAAAAATTTAAAGAAAAAAAAATCATAAATTTAAAGAAAATAAACGTACTTTATGATGAGGTAGAGTGATTTTGCCAATAGACCTTGGCTCAACATGAACTATTTTAAATTATATTTTTCGTAAAAAAATATCTCCATCACTTATATTAGTCGTCTAAAATATAATTTGGTTTTTGCTTCTGACCTCGGAATGCAAGAAAGTATAGTTTGCCTATTAGGTGGAGTGCCCCAAAACTTAACAGAGTGATGAAAATAGAAAAATTGAAGAATATTTGTTGAAATTGAAACCTTGTACTTAATTCTCGAGTAATATAGAATGAGATTGGCAAGACCATCAAATCTCCCCAGAAAAAATTAAGACATTCACCTTTTAGATTTTTTCAATTTCATCCATTATTTTTTTTTCATTTATGAGTTCAAAATTCATAATTTGTTGAAGTTACTACAACTTTTAACATATAATCATATACATAGCAAGTTAGCAACTCGAAAAAATAGTTACTGAAAACCGATTCTAATATTAACAAACTAGATACTATTTTAATTTTATGTTTTTTTCTTAGTATTGCATATTTTGATAGTAATGCTTATTCTAGTAAAAAACTTTTCTTTATTATAAGTATCTCATGACAATCTAACTAAAAGTTGACTTATTTATCAAAATTACTTTTCTAACATATGTTTCTTGTCACATCAAACGCTTAGTGGAGTAGTTTGAATAAATTTCAAAATAATAGATGACAAAAATGAAGGAATAAAGTTATATTTATTTTTTTGTTATTGAAAAAAAAAAGTTTAATATCAGTTCATCATAATAATTTTTCATTTATCATTACCTAAGTCGCGAAGAAATATATATAATATATATATCATTCGTTACCAACATAAACCATCTACTAGAAGGTAGCAGTAAAATCTTTCTCCGGACAAGGCATAGATAAAAAAAAAGAATGAGAAGACATAGAAGAATAAAGACGAAGTGATACACACTTCAAGAATATTCACATAACCCTCCATTGATCCTCAAAGACATTATTTATCATTTGAATCACAAACTTAATCTTGTATTGGACCCTTTTTGATAATTGATTAATATTGATCAAAATTTAATCATAACAAGAATTGATATAATAAATTAAAATATTATTTGATATAAACAAACAAAATTAATAGAAAAATGGAAAATTTGAGTTTAACGATATATATAGGCTAATACCTTAAAAAAAAAATTAATAATATAGAAATAAATATGAGACTCTCTCCAACACGTGGAGAATGATCTCATATTAGTAATGTTTTAATTGCGCCTATTAATATGATTTGGTTTTTATTGTTTTGACAAACTTTTTAATTTCTTTTAATTATTAAATATTAAAAACAGTATTATTTTATGTAAAAATAGTAAAATATTAAAATGATAAAGCAAAGAACAAATGGAAACTTGGTAATCCGCCATGTCAGACTCCGTCAACTAGTATAACGACCGGAAACTTCATATCTCGCTGTTGCTGCTTCTCTCCTCCAAGTCAAATTAGCTGAAAGTTTTTGTTTTTTTTCTTAAAATTTAGCGTGTTTGTTGAATGAACATAAATCGTGAGGTTTTCTTCATCAAATTGTTCTGTTAATTAGAGATTGGGTTTGTTGCTCTTGGATCTTCAATTGTGAGTGTTTTGATTAAAGGAAAAAATGGAGAAAGTGAAGAATATATTGAAGCCGAAACCAAACCCTCAACAGCTTTTGAGAGATTGGCAACGTCGCCTCCGTCAAGAGTGCCGAAATATCGAACGTCAAATCCGAGGTAAAACTAATTATGTCCACTAATTACCCTTTCTGTTTGATTTTTTCAAGTTAAGGAAGAAAGGGTTTCTTCTTATTGTTTTTTTTTTTGGGTGATTTGAATGTTTGATGATAATTGTTGGTGTGTCTTGACTTATTTTGTTTGGTTTCATGTAATTTGGGGGTTTCATCAGATATACAGAGAGAGGAGAAGGTTGTACAGAAATCAATTAAAGAAGCTGCTAAGAGAAATGACATGGGCTCTGCTAAGGTAATTTAGAACTGTTCAGGATTTAGCTTTTCACTTTGAAATATATTTGCTTATTTGACTTTCAATCTTCTGCTGAATGCTGATGATTGCTTTTATTTGTTTCGTAATCATTTGATATTGATCCATAAGGAATATCAATTGACAATTATTATTGTTAAGTATGGTCTTTGAGAAAATTTTGTTGTTCTAACAAGGCAGTTGATGTGAGATGGAAATTTGAGTTTTAGTTTTTGATGCTTTTACCCTACATTATGAGAGAATTCCCATGAAGCATGGTGTATTTTAAAGTTTGCCGTTTTGCAAAAGCATTGCATCTTGAACTGCTATTGTTTTCCCCTCCTCCTTGGTTTAATTCTGGTTAACAATATTCAAGGGTCTTTTAGCTGTAGTTTGTTAGCTAGATCTATGTCACTCTGCTGCCTCTTGGGGAATGTCCAAATAATATCAGAAAGTTAATTTACTATTTAGAATGTGTTGGAAATTGCTAGACTGCATATCATGTTTTTGTGGCATTCATATAATGTTTTTTTAATTTTATTAAAGTTGTTTATTCATATATTTATTATGAATGTTATCCTCTAGCTGTCTAGCATTTGCTGAAGAACTTATGGAATTTTTTAGGATTAGATGATCTTAGTGGAGTGACATGCTAAGTGATAATTCATATAGCCGACCCTAGCTTCCGAATAGAGTTGGTGAAATGATAAAGAGAAGCATGTGCTTTGTTGTTGTTAAGCTAAATCTTGTAAACTTTTGTTATAATTGGTGAAATGAGAAAGAGAAGTTCCCCTTCCTTTGGATAGAGCTTGATTGGCATAAAACTTAAGATGTTATTTTGAATTGATATTAAGTTAGTGACAACTGAAGGAAGTACAAAATAGTAGCTGAAAGTTTGATTTGTTGAGGTTAGAAAATTTTAAACTAATGGTTAAACAACTTTGCAATCTTAGAATTTGTGAACGTTGATATTGTACAGAATTACATTATAAGTAGAACATTTTGGAACATTGCATTAAAAGTTCATTTCTATCTGTGTCTTGTCTAGGAGTTCCAAGTGTTTGAAAAATGATTCATCTTTGATTTTCTCTTCGTGGTCTTTATCCAAGATCCAAGCATACATCTGGGGATTTTATTTGGTCGTTTGTCATAGAGAAAACTCTCTGAATTCTGGGCTTAAAAGAGTTCTGTCTATGTTTAATATATTAGTGCTTTCCAGCATTCCAGGATAATCATCAACAGTCATCATGCCTTCTGATTTCATAATTTTATGTTCTATTGCTTATTCACATTTTAGTGTTGTATTTTGCCATAGTCACTAGCCAAAGAGCTCGTGAGATCTAAAAGAACTGTGAACCGATTGTACGAGAACAAAGCGCAGTTGAATTCGATATCCATGCACCTTGGAGAAAGTGTTGGTAAGATACTCTTACTCCATTTGGTTTTTTGTCGTTATTTATTGATGAAGTGTGTAACCACTCCTCTAATGTCTTTGATGATCAAATTGTTGGAAGCACTGTATGTATCTTCTGAAAATGAAGTACTAACTACTCTTGATGTGGATAAAGTGATGCATTCTCTCTTAGCTGACTCTTCAACATTTTAGGGTGTAGTCAAATTCACGCCTTACGGGCTTCTCAGTTTCTTGGGTGCAGGTGTTGTTTAAGGATATTTTCAATTATGTCACTGCACATGCACCCTTGATTCAAACTAAATGCCCTGTTGTACTTTTGCACCCTCCTTAGGAAAAATATACCGTGTATAATTTATTGAGTTAGAGTTTCAAGATAAATAGCCTATTAACTTGAAGATTAATTGTGAGGTAATAGATTACTTTTTGAGTTACAGATGTGGGGAAGTTAGAATTAGGACTCCCAAAATTTGTTATACTTCTGGTGTTATATGATAAGAGGTGAAATACTCTTTTCGGGGGGATAGACGATTGGAAATATTTTGGTAA